TACAAGGGGTAGCGGTGTGGATGATGATTTTGCACAGTTGTTGGAAGAAGTGGAAACTAAATTGTATCCTAGTTGCATCTTTTCTTCCCTTGAGTTTCTAGCAAAGTTAATGCATATCAAGGTGAACAACAAATGGACTGATAGTTCATTTGATCAACTCCTTGAGTTGTTGCAATTAGCATTTCCCAAAGGCAACAAGGTTCCCCTTTCACATGATCTAGCCAAAAAGAAACTGAAGTCTATTGGTCTGCGGTATGAGTCGATACATGTGTGCAAAAACGATTGTTGTCTCTTTTGGAAAGAACACGATTCATTGCAAGTTTGTCCAGTTTGTAAAGAGAGTCGATGGATCGATAAAAACACCAAGGGTAAGAAAGTACCTCATAAGGTGTTACGTTACTTTCATGTGACCCCTAGACTACGACGTTTATATTGTTCGAGGCACACTGCCAAAAATATGATTTGGCATAGTACCAGACGTTCAGAAGATGGTGTGATGCTTCATCCTGTTGATGGGGAACATTGGCAAGACTTTGATAAAAAATACCCCGACTTCTCGAGTGAACCCCGTAACGTACGCCTAGGTCTTTTAGCTGACGGTTTCAATCCATTTGGAAACATGTGTAATCCACATAGCACATGGTCGGTCATACTCACCACATACAATCTGCCACCCTGGCTTTGTATGAAAGAGTCATCATTCATGTTGACTTTGTTAATTCCCGGCCTGAAAGCTACTGGTAAGGATATTGATGTTTTCCTTAGGCCGTTGGTGGAAGAGCTTAAACATTTGTGAAACTCAGGCGTACGTATTTAAGATGCGGCGACAAACACATTCTTCACGATGAGAGCTATGTGGTTGTGGACAATAAACGACTGGCCAGCTCGTAGTAGTCTATCAGGTTAGAGTGGGCAAGGGTATAGAGCATGTGCTACTTGCAATGAAGACGCTCCTTCGTACCGTGCAATTGATATTCATTTATTTTTACATTTATTATCACATTTATTGTATTATTACATTTAAACGACTTTTGTCGCCGCTAATGATCGTTTTCCTTGTAGTGGAAGTCAATTAATGAAATTGATATGCATTTATTATATTACATTTATTGTATTATTACATTTAAATATTATGTGGAAATTAATAAAATGAAAAAAACCACAAAATGCCATGTGGAAAAAAATTAATTAAAAATAACCACAAAATAACATGTGACCAAATCAATCAGAGTGTGACATGTGGCAAAAAATTCTTTATTTATCAGGAAGGATTTGATCGCCTCATTCATTAATATATAATTGCTTCAACTTCTTCTAAGTGAGTCACCTAAAATCCGGTTGCATTACCAACATCAGTAGTTTTTTGGTTTTTTTATCACGCACAACACATTTGTTAACTAAGTTACCTTCATTTCTTGAATTACTTCGCTAAATGCGCATTATATTTCTGAATCTGATTCCGATAAATTCCTACTTACTGCTTCTCATTTATGTGAAAGAAGAAGCTTGATGAAATAATGTTCTATTTGGTCCAAAATTCAGTATTTATTTGCTAAATCTCAGTTAACCCTCTTTATCAACCTACTTTTTAAAGAACTTACTTTTTAAAGAACTGGAAACACAAATGTGGTTTTTGAGCGTCAAATAATTCATATGTTTGTTATCCTACTCCTACCTACATTGTCATTTTTCTTTTTGAGAAATCATCCGTTAAGAACTATTATATTGAGCAGGTCTATTTTCAAGACCAATTGATTATTTGAGCATTTCTGTTTGACTAATCCAGACCATGCATGTTAATTATGAGATAAGTACTATATAATCTTTAAGAGTAAATTACACGAATAGTCCCTATGGTTTAGAGTAATTTGCGTGTTTGATCCTTAGCTTATATTTTTAACTCGGAAGGTCCTTACTGCTTGTTTTTGTTACACATTTGGTCCTTGTCTCACCTAAAAATACTATTTTTCCCTTGATTTTTTAATTTATTTAAATAAACACACCCCCAACCCCACCCCTCTCACCTCACCGTACCTACATGACTATTTTTTCCTATTTAAATAATATTCTTTTTAGGTAAGACAGGGACCAAACGTGTAATAAAACAAATAGTAGGGACCAAGTGCGTAATAAAAACAAATAATAGGGACCTTCCGAGTTAAAAAAAATAAGTTAGGGACCAAATGTGAAATTACTCCAAACCATAGGGACCATTCGTGTAATTTACTCTATCTTTAATGACCTCGCACTGAATCAGGTTTTTTTGAATTGTGCTTCAATTTAAGTATAAGTTAATGTTGTACAAAAATCATAAGCAACGATATTATTCAATGTCGAAACTAATATAAAACTCTTTGGTTTTCATTTATAGTTTTAAACTGATCGATCATACAAAGTTTCAAATGCATGTGGCCACATCGAGCTATGCAACGAGTGTAAAACATACAAACTACTAAAGTTGATCTGGCCTTGGTACGAAGAAATTAATAACTTACAAATTAATTGTTAAAAGATAAGGTGTGAGCCCATTTCCAATAGCTGAAACAGCAAGGTACAGCTTTCAGAGAAGATTGCATGTTATTACAACAATATACTGCTCTCTCTCTATTTGAGAATATTTGTGTAGAAGATTGAATACCAAAAATAAGGGGATATTCTTCACGCTAGGTATACGTACGATTTGCTGGAAACAAAATTTGAGGTCTATTTGGTTCATATAATAAACCTAGGAAGTCCTATTTTGTAACCAAGTCGCTTAACATCATCTTGAACCTGCTGTCTGAATTCTCTAAAGCTGAATCTTTTGTAAATGGAATTCTCAACACAGCTTTGTATCACTGTATCGTATGATGGACAAAAGAAGTAAGCAGCTGAAAACCTCTCAGTTTCTTTATGAGCCACCACTCGATGCTCAACGCTCTTATAAACATCATTGCTCCATGCCTAAACCAGATTAAAGAGCATAATCATATTAAATGACACTTCATAACCAGTGAGTGGGAAATAATACTCCAGACAAATCCATACCTGAAAAAGATCTCCGATGTTGATGATTAGAGCTTCTTTATTAGGTTTAACAGCAATCCATTTCCCATCTTTCACTAATTGTAATCCTCCAATTTGATCTTGATGTAATATAGTGAGAAAATCACTATCAGTGTGTGGCATCAATCCAAACACTTGTGAAGAAATGGGACACGGTGGATATCTATTCATACGGAGGTAGCATGTGCTTGGCAAACAATTCTGCTTGAAAAAATCAGACTTATGGCCCAGTTGCTCCGCTAAAATCTCTGCAAGATTTTCTGCTAGTTTTGATACCATGGTAGCAAACTGTTCCATTGTCGTGCTACATGAAAATAAAAGTAAACACAATTAAGCTACTTAATTATTTAACATAATTTTACAATGATTAGCAATTAATTTTGGAATGAAACAAGATTTGAAATACAATTGCATGCGGTTTGCTTTATTTCATGTCCGCAAGGCCCGACGTATACTTTTTACTGAATGACACCTACTATATATTGATGCAACAGTGTACTGAGGTCAGAAACTCCAGCTCATGCCACATGCGAGTTCGGAAAAGTTTTTGAAAGTGGATTCTTTGTACAGCTACTGAAATGCATGTACTAGTACGACTAAAAGAGATAAGTATATAGATAAAGAGGTTATGCCTAGGTTGGCTGTATGTTTTTGCCACAAACAAAGTTAGTACACTGCTTCACCTTAATGGGTAAGGTTTCATTGGTCACAATAGATCACACACATAAGTCCTATGGTCACATGAATGCCAACTAGGGTAGGTACGTACCACATGTAAAGCATCTTGAAAAACATTCAATTATACATCATGTTGTACAACTATTCTATGATTCATGAGGAAAGCAAGAATCTAGACCCAAAGAGAATCACAAACAAGAATCAAGGAAGTTAGAACAAATAAGAATTTCGTTTTATACACAGGTATACAAAAGTTAACAATCACGTATTTTAAATGGACTTTGTAAATCAGTTTGGTTGAAGGTATATAAGATGATAGGTGAAAAATTAAATTATCAGGGAACCCTTTTTTTTGTAAAAAAAATGTCCTCCCAGGTAAAAACAATACGCAAACTGTGCACATTCCACGAAGCTGGCAACGTACATTCACCGACCTTAGCCACCCTACTAGTGTACAAATGTCTAACGTTGTTTTGAGATCAAGATTCCCACTACTTTTGGAGTAGCATCTTTTGAGATGATGATACTTGATAAACAACGAGTATACGTAGCTACTTTAACGGCCTGTCGTTGGGTCCTTCACAAACCACCCACTGGACATTACGTACGTGATTGTCCACCCACACTACATATGTTGACATTACTACCACCGGATTAATGTATCCCATGATACCATGGTGATTGATATAGAAATATTGATTCCAACTGATCAAATCTCTACTTACAAATTATATGTGTGTGTGTGTGTGGTGGGGGGAATGATAATATGATATTCCGCTCATGAATATAGATATACATACCCTTTGGCTTTTGAAGCATGACATGATGTCAACATCCTCCGAACTTCAAAGTTAATATTTCAAATTTAATACTTCACAGTTGCTTAATGAATGTTTGGATGTGGATCATTTAAGATCATTTTTATACGCATACTGTCGACGTGTATATTGCTAGAAAAAAAAGGTTGTCTATAAACCATATATAATATAAGTTCTAGAATACAGTATACCATTAAATACTATAAAGAACGTTTAAAACTATCGAAGGGGATTCTCTATTGTTTTTTCTTCGTGTGTGTGTGCCTGTTTTTTTTTTTTTTAAATTATGTAATTGTGCTTAATGTCTACCTCCGATTAATTTAATCACGCATTGTTCTTGTGGCTTTTCATGTTAGGAATAGATAATGACAGCTAATGTGCAATTTTAGATGTTACAAATGAAACCCCTTGTGGTTAACGCTAAAGTCTAATCCCAATAAATTAAATGCCAAATACATCAAATCACATTAACTTTATTTGTAATGCACCTTTCATCTTAGATAGTAACACACACTAATTTCATTCATATATATCGCATTAAACACAATTTTAACTTTTAAGAACACATGTTTCATTTGTCCAAATTATAAATACGTGGGATATGAATCTAAATAGGTTTTTAATAAT